CCTTATTTAAAGACTAAAACATTGGCTAAGGTTCAGGATTTTATCTCTGATTCGGAGCGACGAGTATCTACCTTAACTGAATCTAGGAAGCGCAGATTGTCTTCAGAGGACTCCGTTTTTGTCCGGGAGAAAAGGCCTCGTCCAATGAAAAGAAATCGTCAATTTCTGCAACAAGAGCTCGACGAATTCCAACAAACTTTGGCTTCCGTTTATTCCTCAGAGGCAGCTATTTGCGTGGAAAATAAAACTGATTTAGAAGGTATGGATACTTAATAGTGCTTGGTTTTCATGTATCCATTAAAATAACTTCTAGTTCACCTATGTTACTTTTCATTTTGGTCCTCAGGCCCCCCTGTCGATTTCGTTCCAATTAGTGACTATATGCCAAGTCCTGACGTTCCATGGTGTAGTGCCTCACCTTTTGGCTGTGATTGCTCTGTCAATCCTATGTTTGAATCAAATTCTAGTCCGGGCTACAACCCTCATAGTAGGACCCACAATAACAATGTAAATAATGTTTCTACTTGCTGTGCTGCAAATCGATCTTTAGAGTTAGAAGCAAGAAGCTTTGAACCCTGTTGGCTCAATCGAAATTCTAGTTGTTGTTCTGTTCATTCGGGGGCTCCTATTCCATATAACCTTCAAAAACGTCTTGTTGCTCCCAAAGGACAACCTGTCTATGAATGCAATTCTACGTGAGTTCTTGATCAGCTTACATTTTTCATGATTTCTAACTGTTGTGTTTATTTTTTGGGTCTCATTATTGTTATATTCCTAAAAGCTTGTAGGCTTTTGAAGCTTTATAAATTATATTACATAATTCTCCTTAATTATATTTTGCGAAATTCCTTTTTTTTCTTTTGCCTTGATTCTCATAGTATTTTTTTGTTACATTATTTATATTTTTAGCTGCTTAGTGGCTCATAGTGTTCCTTTTTTTACATGAGCCCTTTAATTTATCAAATTCTTCGTGTGATAATTGAACATTTATATATTTTTAGTAAAAAATAGGTTTGTTGTGCTTAGGAAACTAGTTTATATCCATCCATGTGCACCATTTCCGACAACTATAATTGTTTCTTTATTATAGCTTCATTAATTGAACGAATTTCAGATCTACTTTATACTCACATTAGTTTTAAGCAGATAATTCTTATTAGCAATTCGTTTTGACATAGAATAAAGGCGAATTGATTATAGAAATGTTTTTTTTACTTTTTGACTTCGTTGAATAAGCAGGATTTAGTTAAGTTAACTTTTACCGCACTGTGCTGGGCACTACAAACATACATAAGTGTTTGTAGTACTAGATAATGCGCGTGTTCTAACGATTCCCTTGTTTTATACTGCATTAAACCACTGAAAGGATATATTTTAATTTCTTGTCTATGTAGGTCTGCTTTAGTAAAAGGAGTTTTCAATTGAATAGATTCTTCGCCAAATTAGCATGTAAGATCCACTCTACCAATTCACCTTCAATATTACTTAATCACGAGTTCCATTTATTATATCTTGTTTAGATTCCAAAACTAATAGTTAAAGTAAACGATTGATGAGGAGTGACTTAATACTCACAATTTCGCTCATTTCTAGTCTTCCCAGAAACCAGGGTTTCATTTTGATGCTCTTTAAAGTAATGGAAAATATATACACTAAATAGTTTGGGCCGCTGAGGGCTTGAACAATGCATTAATTATTTTATCATATATATATATATGAGAATTTTAGACAGCAACAAGTAAGCCTATTCAAACGCTATTAAAATACCCTCTGCTACTTGTTTACCTTTCGTTTCGTTTGAGAAGGTGAATATGCCAACCCACAAACTTTGTGGTTCAGCGCTGAACCTAATCGAAGCAAGCATTACTACATTTGTGAGTTAGCACACAAGAGACTAAGGCATAGGAAGTCATAGACTTGGTATTAGGGATAGAGACAGGATAGACGCGGCGGAGACTGGATCTAGTTGGTTAACAGTAGGTTTGTTTTTACCATAGACGTGGTCCATACAGCAAAGGCTTGACAATGAGACTTACTCAGAGGTTTGAGCCTCGAATTAGTCACCCAGACACAGGGGAGGGCAAATAACGCCTATAATAGCACTAATAGGGTGGCAGGAGTCGAGTGAAATACGTGAACCAGGAATATAGCAGACGGATCTTACGGGACAAAAGAGAGACTGTGATAAGACCCAGGGAAGGAGTACTCCGTATCACTATATCAGACTCTGATCCACATTCTTAGCACAAGGGTGAAGGGGGTGAGAACGACAGCGTGAAGTGTGAAGCGTTTTCATGAGTGCCGCTCAAAGGGGCACACCACACTACATCGAAATAAACACGGTAAAAATTGAAACAATGAAGGTATGATAGGAGGATATAGGAAATGTGAATAGCCCATGGCAGACGGGGAGATATCACAACTGTTTAACACCCGTTTTGTCAAAGGATCGGCTTCACTTGTCTCTTTGACGAGTTGTTTTGT